ACATATAGGAGATATAATCTAAATCTTACATTTTTAAATTAGCATATAAAAATCGACGCAAATAAATTGAATAAAAAAAACAGATCAAAATCACGACTATCACGATTAATTACCGAAGAAACATTGTTTGCATCAAGTTTAAAAAAATGTTAAAAAATGTTAAATTGTAAGTATACTTATCGTAGTTATATAATGAGTGCTCTCAATCAATAAGTCGCTAAATGTGGATCATTCGACGGCGTCCGTTGACTGGTATCGACCTCGAGTGATTGAAGAAGAAGCTCCTGAAAGGAAATTCTTAAGTAATCGCTGTCGGCCTGATCAATGATTAATTACTTTCCACAGTTTCTCACATCACATATTTATTCGTACTATGACTTTGATAGATATCATGAGGTATTAATGCCTACCCAGATATAAGTGCCAAATAATTTTAAACTTTCCGAAGATAAAATCAAATAATAAAAGTTGTCAATTTAGTTTGAACACGATTTGGCTCTTTCAAAATCCTAACTAAAATTCTGATCGCGAAAATATTATAGAATATTTAAAGACTGCAACAAATAAAAAATTCTCTCGATATTTAATTTTAAAATAAATTAATTCTGAAACAATTGAAAGATTTCTCATAAAAACTGAAACTTAAAAATTATGTAACTTATTTTGTGTGTAAATTATATAAGTTATTTTGTCTGTATATATTTTCTGAATTTTCTCTCTATTTCTTTTTGTTTTTTATCTCTCTCTTTCAAAACATCTAATCTTTAAAATCTAATCTTTTCGTTTTTGGTCGTAAGCACAATTAATTACGATAAAAGGACATTGAACGTCTAAAAGATAGTTGTGAATATACATATTTGCGCATGTGTTATATGTTTAAAGATTGGAAAAATTTGCTCTCTCATCACGATAACGAAATTATCGTACTAATCTATCAGAGGCATATGACAATGAAAATCTGACCTTGAAGCGAGAACGTCGTCACATGTAATAATATATTAACAACGAGTGGCTCACATTCAAGTTATCTATTATTTATTATATTAGAACATTTTACAAAGTGCACGCTTGCGCGCGCCATTTAGCTTTTTTGTAATATAATCTGAGAAAAAAATGCATATATGAGTAATATATGATTAACTAATATAATTTCATATATAAATATACTTAAATATACATATAATTATATATGAAACTTGGAAACATATTATAATAATGCGACTTTTTGTCAGCTTCTTTGATTAAATAGGTTATATTTTATATATTTTATAATTATATATGGACAACTTTTTCTTTTTTTTCCAAACTTAATTAAAAAAACCAATGCAAAAGATATCTGTGTCCCTATATTTCTTTATCTCTAAATATTTGCGCATCATAACTGTTGAAAAATAAAACAATAAATAATTTTACTTTAATACTACTTGACAGTTTTTTATTAAAAAGAAATTAAAAATCCACAATTTGATTTTATAAATTTCCTATTAAAAGAATAACCGATGATTTTAAGATAATCTGCATAAAAAGGAAGCAAGAGCGTTAATATGTCCAATAAAGTTATGCAAATACATGTAAGATAATCTTCTTTTTAAATAAAAAATTTTACCCGTCTTTTATCGATAAAGAAACATAATTATATAACTCTTAATAATTAATTATACAATAATTATATAATAAATTATATATAAATTATATGTAATTATATAATTATAGAATTATATATACATAATTATATAACATATTAAATAAAATGATTTATATTTAATGTTAAATGTATTATGTATAATCTATTGCCCCTCTCTCTCTCTTTCTATTATTAATATTATAACATATATATTAATAACACATTTGCCACCGCTATGATCTTTATCAAAATGATTCATTAAATGAAAATGAAGCATAATATATGGAGCATTACTAGTTTATTTATTTCTAAATATTAAATGTGCTATGAATATTAAAAGTTATATATTTTATACAATTTATATAAAGGAATTTTGAACATACTCGAAAAGAAAAATTTTATCAACATAGCAAAGAAGAAATTAATTATAAGCAATTTATTTTTTTCCCATTATTGAGCTATCAAACTATACTCCGATGATAGCTATTCACAAAGTAAGCACAGTGAAATAATCAATCATCATCACGGAATAGAGACAATAATAACATATTTCGAGTATCGACACAACTTGCCATTTGCAAGATTTTCATCAATTTTCTCCATCTCTTTTCACATTGTAACAGAAATCGGAAAAAGTATACCTCTTACATACTTTCTACAAAGTAAGAAAGAAAGATGATAGAACGCAAATATTTCGCAAGTCGAGCAAGTGAAGAACAGAAAGTTTTGACTGTGCTAATTTTTTTTTTCAATTCACATCAGTCATTAAACACTGATGTGCAAATTGAAACATCAAAGATCTTGCATAGAGTTGGCAAAAAAGTGGTTCGCATCTTTCAACGACCTTGTGCGTTTGCGAAATTTTTATCCAAATGAATACCCGTCGAAAGTGACATTTACATACCCACGTCCCTTCGATAAAGCGACGCGAAGATCCCTGAAATGTGGCAAAATCTACAAATCTTCGTTGCCCCGATAAAAGTATCTGGAACGCCGGATTAATCGCACGTCGGGTTGACCCTCGCGCGAGTCCAAGATCGCCGGAAGTTCAGGGGGACGGGGAACGAGCGCGTTTTCATTCTAAGATCGAAATCCCAAGACGCGCGGAGAGGACGAAGGCATTGCTACCCTTCCCTCCCCCTCCCCCCTCGACCCCCTTCCCCGGCATCGGGGGCATCGAATTTGACCCTGGATCGCACCCCCTGTTATCGCCGGAATCGGTCATCACTGACCCTCCCGCTAACCCCCCCCCCTCCTCCCCGGAGGGAAGCCCTCGCCGCGCCGAGGCGGAATCAGGAAGAGAGAGGAGAGAGCGTTGCACCGGAGGGTACACTGTTCCAGTGAACCCGGCGGCGTGCGCGCCTCCGGAACGCGTCCCCACCCGCGGATCGCCCCGGCCGCCCGATCAAAGTGCGAGAGAGCGAGAGGGAGGGAAAGCCCCCCCGTCCCGGGGGGAGGGGAGAAGAAGGGGCGACGGCGGCGACGACAGCACCCCTTCCTTCATCCCTCTCTCTCTCTCTCTCTCTCTCTCTCCCTTCGACCCAGGATGTCGAAGGGGGTGCGCGCTCCCCCCACCGTCGCCTCGCTCTACCCCTTCTACGGGCGACGCGAGTCTACCCCTCGCCGAAACAACGTTCGCGCGCGACGTCGACGCGACGACTCGGCGCGAGGCGCCGGCAGTTCGCGAGCGTCACGACGCCGCCGCTGGGCTCGCGTCCCGATAGTGGGGAACGAGATTGGACCCGGTGGTAGGAACGCCGATGACGGCGGTGGTAGGGGCGGGGAGGAGAGGGGAGGGGAGGGGAGAGGAGAGGAGAGAGGAGGCGGCGGCGAGCGCGCGGAGGAGAGCTCGACGACGGCGAGGAGAGGTCGTTGACCCGAGCGGCAGGCTGCCGGCTGCTAGAGTGCTACGTCGCTCGCGCCGCGCGCGCGCGCGCACTGCCTCCTCGTCTGTTCCGCGTTTGTCCGTAATCTCGTGTGTGCTCTCTGCGCGCGCGACAACGCGCTCTCCTCGTACAACTCGTCTATACAATTATATATATATATATATATAAAATTTCTCTCATATTATATTCGCGCGTAGTCCATTGTATATATTTATATAGACCTGCATATCAGATGGTTACACATGTGCGTCTCTCTCTCTCTCTCTCTCTCCGGCTGTCCCTACGCTGCCTTTTCGCCTCTCCTCGCACGCCACCGATTCCGCTGGGGAGCGAGAGAACGGAGAGAGAAAGAGGGAGAGTGTCGGAGGAAGGGAGGGAGGGAGAGGGAGGAAGATAGAAAAAGAGCGAGAGGAAGAGGCGAGAGGCTGGTGAGAGAAAGAGAGAGAGAGAGAGAGCGGCGTGTTTCCCTACGACGTGCGTTACACCGAGAGATCGCGCGGACCGCGAAGCGCGTGTTTCGCGTACACTTCGCGTTCTGCCGGCGTACTCCACTTCTTCTCGCTCTACGTACGTACGTCGTCTCTCGCTCTCTCCTCCTCTCTCTCTCGTTCTCTCTCTCGTCGCATCTCCCAGAGCCGCGCTCTCCGTCTTCGTCGCCGAACGCGAGTGACAGTCTCGGAGCGAATACAGTCGTCGGCATCGTCGCCGACGTCGTCGACGATCGCGGGATTCCTCCTCTCCGAGCCGGTCCATTCGTTCCATTCGAGGAAGTGAAACGGCACCGGGCACCGCGCGTTATTAGTCTCCGCTTATCGGCGAGCTGGACGGAGCTCCTCTCCCGGTCTTCCCACGTCCGGCACCTACGTCGGGGCCAGCAGGAGCGAGGAGCGGCGGGTGATCGGCGTCCTCGGGGATCGTCGTCGCCGACGCCGACGTCGGCGTCGCTCCACGTGAGCCGCGCTCTCGGACGTGGCGCGCGCCGGTTCCTCCGCCGACAGGAGGGATTATTTAACGGCGAGGAGAGGCGGAGGAGGAGGGCCGCGAGAGTGCGACGACCGAACTCAACCGAACCGTCCGGCCAACGGCAGTGTGCACGGCGTTTGTTGTTTCCAACTGTCGGCCCGGCTTCGCGCCGGCCTCCGTCGCGTTACCCGTACTCCGCCCGGTCGGAGAGAGCGATAATACAGTACCGCGAGTGCACCGCGGATGACACATGTGCGTCAGTGTGTGACCAAGTTTTTCCCTCCTCTGTTTACGTACATCGACGCCCGTCCGTCTCCCGGGTTCCGTTCCGCGTGTGCGCGATCCGCGGCTGACCGCGGGTTAGGAGACGAAATTGCAAGGACCAGGAGGAGAAGAGGGAGAGAGAAGACGTCGTTGTCTCGCGCGCGCGAGAGAGGACTCCCCTAGATATATATATATATATATATATATATATATATATATATATATATTCATCTCGTGCACGCCGACGTATACACGCGTATAAATATAGACGAGACCTCTTCTCCCTCGCCTCGCGATATTTCGCGCCTCCGCTCCGATCCTTCCGAGTCGGTTTCTCTCCCCTTTTTTTTCCCTTCGCGCCTTTTCTCGACCCGCGAGGGGCGCTCCTCCCTCTCCCCCCGCCCGCGCGTCCCTCGTCCTCTCTCTCCCCCTGTCACGCGCGCGCTCGCCACGTTTCTCTCTCTCTCTCTCTCTCTCTCTCTCCCTGTCACCGCGCGCGATTTGCTCTCGGCCTTTATACGTTTCTTCCTCGGCCACTCTCTCTTTCGTTCGCGTTCCGCGCGCGTTCCACTCGCGCTTTCGCCTGGCCCCCGCGAACAAAACACACGGTTTCTAAACTCGCTTCCGCTATCTTTACCCACTCTACGGCTCTCCGCGCGCGACTTTCCCCGTCTCATTCACTCTTGCTCCCGCCGCGCATCGTTACATACACAACACACACCGACGATCGTTTACCCCGTGCGCCTGTGTGTGTGTGTGTGTATGTGCGCGCGTTACGCCTCTCTCTCTCTCTCCTTCTCGCTCTCTCTGCCTCATACACACTTTTATATCTCTCTTTTTATCTTTTTGCCCGTGATTCCCGATCCAGTCGACGTCGACATAAGCTCGCCGATCGTCGATCGACAAACGTCATCGTCCTCCACGTCGCCGTCATCATCGTCGTCGTCGTTGTCGTCGTCGTCCTCATCGTCGTCATCGTTCGTCGCCACGACGCAGCCAGCGCAAGCACGCAGTGTGATACTTAAATAAGCGAAATTTAAGTATACAAAGTTTTATTATGTGCGTCGATACATCGCGAGATGCACGCGAGGTGACGTGATCGACACGCGCGTCGCGACGCTCGATCCTTGTCGCCCTCGTCCCCCCCCGAGGGGGGGAGAGGGGAGCTCCCTCTCCCTCTGTCACCCTCACGTGCGTGCGTATCGCATCGGGATGCACGCACGCGTTTAAAGACGCGGCGAAAATTATCCTTGCGTCTCGCGTTATTTTCCTTCTTAATTCCAGAGACCGGGCTAAAATAATCGCTCGAATAGGGGAGGGTGACTCGAGATTGAACGTCTCGATTTTTTTTTTTTTTTTACGGTTTTTTGTGCCCGGAAAATTGCACTTTTCAATCCGATCGGTTTCCACGCGCGCACGTGTGAACGCGAGATCGAGAAGATGTAGAGAAATAGATCGACATAAACGCTCGAAAACGTGACAGATAGCACGATATATACTTATCAGTGGCCAAGGGTACTTGATAAGAGTGACCTAACGTATAATTACGGTAGCTGCTTTTGATGGGTGACGTCATTCGTAAGCCGGACGCCGGAGAGTTTCTTTCGTAATTCATCGTCGAGCATTAATTAACGACGCTAGGTACGTTATTAAAATGGCACGTATAGAGTCTATCGAGTTCGATCGAGTGTACGTATCGGTTTCCGCCCGCCAAACTACTCTTCCGGGTTAATCACGTGACGTAATCACTCGAGCGAAGAAATTTATCGCGCTTTAACGACCAGAGTTTTGCGGAAGCTCGCTCGATTCTTGCGAAAGGCGAGGATCGCCTTTCGATCATTTCCAAGGGAGAAATCTGTTTTTAAGCTTTAAAGATATCTATATCTGCCACATTTCAAGTATGTATCCGTGATAGGAAATGTGGACTGCGTGATTACGCAAGATGCGGAGCTAATCTCGATCAAAAGCGAGAAACTAAATTCTATTCTCATTAGCTAATCACGCTGGTGCGACTAGCTTTCTGATTTCATACATCGCTTGCACTTATTCGCTCTTTTCACGTAATTACTCCCATTTATAAAGCCGTACGCGTAGATACATCCGACCTCTCCTCGATTCATTTGCATTGCGTCGAATGGGGAATAAAATTTACGCGCGATGTCGCAACAGTTTGTCAAAGATTTTACGTTACTTATTTTAATAGAAAAATTAGAGCAAAAGGATTGACAAATTAAAGTCTTCAGATCGTCGCTTTTATAGGTGCATCCGAGAAAAATTGATAAAAATATAGGAAAAGGGAACACGTGGTCTTCTCCAAGATTAATTCGATCAATCGCGATAAGATAAGAAGCGATCGTTGTCTCACCGATAGCTCCGCCCATCATGGGGCGACTTTTCAATGAATCGCCGCGATACGCGGACGTGCGTAATGTTCGACAAAAGCGCGTAACGCACGTCGCGCGTGGTTATAAATAAATCGCGCATTTCTTCGTCGCTTCGTGCAGCACATCGTCTCAATGAAAATGGAAAATATTCTCAAGGGAAACAATCTTTTAATGTCTTTTATCGTCATATTTTCTAGAAGGCTATTTATTAATATTTTTTATAATAGTATTTTTTTAAATTAGATTCCTGTCATTTTTATTATCGCGAAATTCTAGGAAGCGCTTTTCCGATATCTCACAACGTTTTCCCCGAGATTTTTCACTCTTTGTCGCGCTGCTTCTCGTTAGTTAGCACTCGCGAGTCGTCTCGAGACCCGACCTGACCGCGATGGCGATCGCGGAGAACGCAAATACACGTCCAGGTGTCGGGCGTACGCGATCCGCGAGCGATTATGCACCGTGCTAGGTGCGACTATTTTCGCATCGTTGAAAATAGGCGAGCCGCCTGTCGCGCAGGACAAAATCGCGATCTCCGATATTGAATTTAGCCGGGATCGTCTCGCGAGAGCTGCGACAATTTCGACAATTTCAACATGTCGCGATTGTTTCGGCTATTTTCGTGCAAATCTTGATATAATTCAATCGCCTCTTGACACGCTTTACGTCGTGTTTTTTTCGCATTTCACCAGACGAAACAAATACACCAGACGTGACAAATACATCTCAACGGGAAAAATATTCACAAAAGGTACATCCAGATTTATACAGAGAGAATATCGGAGATATTCGAGATGTAACTTCACATATATATATTACTGAATATTTTGAAATTCTCGAATTCTGAGCAGGATTAATTAGAAGCGCGATTACGAAGCGTCTAGCGAGTTTAATCAGCTGGATCCGAATATCCACTTTGAGAATCAGCTTCAATTAAAACGATCTCATTATCCGACATTTACAGATTATAAGTCACCACATCGTTATGTCATAAAGAGAGAATACACACACACACAAATATATGTACAGAATTAAATGATCAATTACACTAATTGTTCCCATCTACCATTTATACATCGAATCCACATTTTGTTAGTCTAGCTAACCAGCTATAACTTGATTAATAATATTTGATATATTTCCATAATATTTAAATATACATCAATTTGTCGAATGAAATCTAGTGACACAAAATTACCATACAACTGCATAACGCTGCTAAATCTTGCGAACGTGACGTCACCTGTCGACTGATAATTGATCGCGCTTAATTAAATCGCTGAAAAATTCACACCCAGGCGCGGCCAGAGATTCGCGGCTACAAGTAGCTAATTGGCATCTTCAATCTTCGGAATCCTCACGGTAGCCCCACGCAACCTCCCCTTATCGCGCCCTTTAGGAGGGTGAGCTAATCGCCCGCCAGCTTCGATTCCAGTTTCGCGTAATTCGCGAGTCGTTCCCAAGGATCACGTGCCACGAATTGTTTTCCTCACGTTTAGCGGATCCAGCGGGAAGAAGGTCGCCAGGCTTGGAGACGACGACCCGAGTGTGCCCTCTTATCGGGGATTAGGACGAGATGAACAGTGACAATCGCGAGCGAGATCGTAGAAGGATCCTGCCGAGTCCTCGCGGCGAGTTCTCGTATCGGTGCAACGGGAAACTGCGCCCCCGCGGTTTCCCTCGTTGAAAATTACTCGGACTCGGCTGTTACTCCTGTGAGTGAGTGTAAACCGCGCTGCCGAGGAACATGAGACACAAAGGCGGAAAGGGCAGTTAGTTTAGTGTAAAAGCAGCGGCCGAGGGGGAAGAGGCATCATGTCTGCCGTCGATTCGCAGCGCAGAATTCCTCGCGTTCCGTGAAACGCGCAGCTCGGTCTTTGAATTACAACCGGAGGAATTGCACCGTTCCTCCAAGGCTGACGTCCAGGCGCCAACTCGGAGCGACCTTGACAATCTTGCGGCGATCGAGGAGATCCCCGAGATAATCTGTTCGATTAACTGACGACTCGATAGAGACTGCTCTCTCGTCGATCATCAATCTCTCGCCGACTCCCTCGGCATCCAAGAGAGGGGATCCGCAAGATTCTAGATATCCGACAGGGGCCTGAAAAATCGACCACCTGTGCCGGCAGATCCTCTCGTCGTCGGTGGAGCTGCACGACGCGTATACCGTTGATGACGTTACCGTTGTTACGTCACGGTAACGGTAACCCGCGTACGAGCGGCGACCTAGTCAGCCTTCATCGTCGGGATTCGGAGCGTCTCGCGCGCTTCGAGGGATTTAAGAGTGAAACTGTGTGATACACGATATCCGGCCCCGGCGTTTTTCCCTTCTTCTCCCCCTTTTTTTTTCCTCCGCCGCGTCTACTTTTGAGTTTCGCGAAGGGTCGCCATCCTCTCTCTTTTGGTCTCTCTTTCTTCTGTCTCTTCTCACTTGTATGATCGCCGCGGTTCTCGTTTCTCTCTCTTCTTCCGCGATCCCGAGGTGAAGCCGCGCGCGAAAGAGGAGAGAAGAGCGCGAGTGAAAGTGAATCTCGTTACGATCTTCTCACGAGAGATCTTCATCGATCGCTCATTGTATTATGTGTGATTATACGTTGGTGAAGCGTTCAGATTAGCTCGATAACGATGATCCGTGTGTACGGAGCCACCGACAGCAGCAGCAGCAGCTGAAGTCATCGGTAGTCGCAAACAGGCGGAAATTCCGCAACCAGGGGATTCAGAGGGGAGAGAAGAAGAGGAAGAGCTACCAGCTGGCGCTCGCGTTGATGGCCGATCATCGACGAACCAAAAATGTAAGTTATCGAAATACGCCATATGTTTCTGTACCTAACTTTACTGGCTTACGCGGATGACTGATTCCTGACATGATATTATTACATAAGGGATGAGAGATCTTTATATAAATGTTTTTCTTGTGATAGATTACATCTTACTGTCCATGTTCGTAAAGAGTAGGGACTTTGTCATTGTTTTACTAATGATACATTTTTCTTTCTTGTTAAATATCCTAGCTTTGGATATCCAGCTTGTTGAATGATTGATTAGATCATGATCTCTTTTATTATTTATTCGTGTATGATTTCTGACAGATCAGCTGTATCAGCTGTACTTTGACAATGTTTTTTCTATGAGAATTTGTTAGATAATATCTCATAGATTCATCTCTCGTATTGGTGTTTCATTATCGAAACTACATTACATATAGTGACGCTAATACGTAATTTACATACAAATTGGTCGCCGTGAATTTGCGACAGATTACAAATCACGCATAGAGTACACATATGAATTTTGATTTATACCCGCGATTCGCGGTTGGTCACAGGTATCCCGACCACTCGTTCAGCATCTATAAACCCCGTTGTTATTATCGAGGCGAGATCCCTTTAACGATACCAAAACCCCTATTTAACGATCCTAGATCATGATCAATGAGATTATTCCCATAAAGATCTTTTGCAGATAATTTACGTGCTTGTTCGGCGAACGTAATCGGTTTTTGCGCGAGATGGGGAGGGGAAAAAGAGAGCGGGTAGAGAAACAAACTCTCGATGACTAGGAAATAGGCATTGTCTCTTGTAGGGAGTTTCACTTGTTTGGCTTCTTCCTCGCGTCTATTCGCTTCCAGACGCTGGCGTGGAAGAATGTCTCTCTCTCGTCGTGAAAACAGGAATTTATCGCTTGGTCACCGCGGGATTGTTTGAGACCCGCAAAGGGTGTCGCATAGCGGAAATCGTTTCCCGACGTTTGACGCGTCGTCGGACCTGATTTCGCTCTCTTGTTGCTATAATAATAATAACGAATTATGAATTACTTACTAATTACGAACTGGAAAATATCCTAGCCCTCGTCATTATGAGGTAATTCGTGATTTGTAGTGACATTCTAGTCTTGAAATTTATCTCTCTTTTAAGGTTCAAAGCCAAATTCATTAATCTTAGTCACAAATAAATTAATTAATCGTAGCTACACTGAGAAAAATCGTTTGATTGTACCAACAAGACGTATATGATTGAAGGCATTTTGGTTAAACAAGAATTTCTAGTTATCATGACAAGACTCGATTTTTTATAACTAGAACGTTTAATAGATTTTACTATAAGGATTTGGTTAGTATTTTCTGGTTGGATCTATAAAATTTCTTGTTACATTAATTTCTTTGCTTGCCACTCTTAACTTAACTCGTATTCAATATTTGTCATGAAATGTATATAAAGACTAGTATTAACATTAAATCCAAAGTATATTTTTTTTCTCTTACGAGCAGTAGTGCCAGAAAGAGGACGCTAGCTCTCTGATTGTGTGTGTTTGAGCTGCATCCTCTTCTCGCATCATTGTTTATCAGTTTAATTTCTAACGAACTGAATTTAAAATAATTTATTCAATAATCTGGATTGAATTTATCCAATAATCTTGTTGGAATTTAGAATATTAAACAGACTTTTGAGATTAGATGGAAAAAATTTTAGACGACTTGGTGCTGGCAAGTATTTAGTATTATTAACCAGAAAATTTGGTAAATTTAACAAGAAGAAATTAATCTGATTCATCTGGTAATTCCTACAAGAATTCTAATTAATGCAACCAGATTTTTTCTCAGTGTACTAATTGAGTAATTCCAAATCGCACGCCTCGATATAATATAGTTAAATTGAGGATTTATACAAAAGAAAGAATTTAAAGAAGCAATTGGGGAAAATAGATTTAAAGAAAATTTGGAAAATAAATTTAAAAATATTTGAAAAAAAGAATAGAAAAATATAGTCAGATTATATTTATAGAATATATATAGTCAAAAGAATAAGTTAAATAACAGCATCAAACCAATGCATAGAATTCAATTTCGAAGGATATTATTCGCAGTATCATAAACTATAGACGTACATATTTTATGTCTCTGTACGGATCGAAGGTTCTGTTTTATGACAGGATGCGAGAAGATTCATAATGTGCAATACAATCGAGCAATGAACTATAGTGAAAAGGGTGTACAGGCGATACTGATAATCAGAACGTAGGAACGCAGCAAGGGTGGGAAAGGGAGCGAAGAAAGGGGTTGGGAGGGAGCGGATGGAAGACGGGTTAATTTTGTACCGATGATCGTCTCGACGTATGCGATTCTCCGCGAATGCCGGCGTGTATATAGGTTAATCCGTGCTTTGAAGCGAATCGATCCACGCGGGGGCAAGGGCGGGGAGGGGGATCGGTCAGGTTAACGAATGGGGTAGGTTAGCGTTCGAGCCGATCCGGCTGCATGCGTTACGCGATTATTCTACCGAGTGGGATTTAATCGCGTTTGCATTTCGGCAATACTTATAATTTGAAAAATCTTTAATCTCTCCTTTTTTGTATTTCTCTTCGCAAATTTTTAACGATTGCAAAAAATCTTCGATAAATCTCTCGCGAGAAATATCGTACTTTGAAGAAAACGGAGTAGCTGTCAGCTGTTGATCACGATCATGGAATCACAGATAAAATCAACAATTTGATAATTAATTATGTAGCGGGAATCACAATGATTGACAGACAGACAGACTTTCGCATTTGTAAAAGATTCGGTCTGCAACAAATTATGGATAAGTTGAATTTTTAATGATTTCGAAACGTTTACAGGTGCATTTTTAATGTGCAACGATATCCATTTATTTCGTTTCCGGCCTCGGTAAACATCGACTATAAAAAAAAAACACACGTCGCAGATGTGTGCACTTTACACATTTTGCCATAATTTTCCAACCAGGTCGAGAAGACAAACCGCTTTCACATCGTTGATGTGTAATAAGTATTTTAACAGATATAATCGCGTTATGATATATTTCTTTTTTGGCAAACTTGCATTCCTACAATTATTCAAAAACTGACATTCTTCTGTCCCAATATAAAAAAATGCAAGACATCGCGCGATTCTTTTAGTACAAAATTAAATTTGTGTCAAAAAAGATGAAGATGTAAAATGTCAGAAGCATCATCTGTACGTCGAGCGTATTTTCATGCTATTATTAATTTATGTTTAAATGAAAGATAAAAACTTACAAATGTATTATCGAAACGATTTTAAGCGCAAAGTATGTTACGTCGTTTGGAACAATTGTAAATATAATGTTTCCATGTGTTTTAAAAGGCAAGCCATACAAACAAATAAAAGATGTATTCCTCAAGATGCAGCAGCAGTTGCTGCATTTATCATATTATTAAGTATATTTTCGCAAAAATTCCAAGAATCCACATTTTCCATCCACATTTCACATTTTCCATCCACATCGCATTTTAAAATCGCTGATATAATATATTAGCAAAATCTGATTTCTTTCGGAATATTCTTAATATCAACGATAATTTGTCTTTTATGCAAGACAAAAGTATCACATCATGAGAATTATTTATTCAGATACCGTTGTTCATATTCTGGATCGTCATAGGAATCTCGTTGTCGATTTGATTAACCTCTCATCTAGTGCTTAAAAAACAGCATGTGTCTGACACAATGCTCGGATAAACTCATTAATGATTCAATCGATAAGTGCTCGCTGCATTTCTCTTTGCAGTTATGCAGTCAATTTTTCGCGTGTCTCCATTTATCTCTGCGCATAAAAGTAAAATTGGTACATTCGTTATGTTTAAATAATTGTTATCAGTGAGTTTGTCGCTCGCTTTCTAGATTGATGGACATGATGTCGATTGAGAATCTTTTAGATTTTTTAAAAGTACATTTCTATGAATGTGTCTTTGAAATCTCCATGATTTTGATATGAAATTCTCGGATGGAATTGAAATCAACTGACTTAAACGCTATTACCCACGTGAACGTAAAAAACATAACAACAAGACGACATTTTGAAATCTTAAACAGCAGTATCGCCGACGAGAGAACGGATGAATCTCTTCCTTGGATTGTCGGCTCTCTGATTGACGCGTTAATTAAAGGCTCGGCCGATCAAACCGCCATGATTACACAAGGCGCACGCGCGGAAGAAAGCAATTCTCCCGCAATTAACGCTGCCAACGACGCAAACGTCCATCAAAGCACGCGAGTGCCATACCTGTCCGCTATTTAACCCAGAATCGAATGTAAGGCATGCGAGAATGATGGGAAACAAGCCCGCCTAGAACGGGTCAAAGGCAGGGAAAAGGACGAGGACGAGAGGGACCGAGGGCACGATCCCACTTTCGTGGCGGAAGAAAGCGATCGTTCCTCCGATCCTCTCACGCGAGGACCCTCGACGAGGGAAAAAGTGCGTACGGAGAGCGAGAGGCGCCTTTCCCCGGCCTCTCTCTCCTTCGCGATCGACGTTTCCTCGGATCTCCACGATTTCCACAGCCGAGAGGTCGACAGCTTCTTCTCCCTCGAGCAAGGGACCATGTATATTGCATAGCCGAGAAACACGGAGATGCTACGAGAGGAGAGGAATAACGAAGCGAGGGAGGGACAAGGAGATAAAGCGAGAGACGGGTGCATGCGGAAGAAAGGAGAGAGAGAGAGAGAGACACCGCGCGATGTGTACGACAGCAAAGCGCTGCTACTCCGGCGCGATGTGTCAGTGTGTGTCGCGCTGGAGGCCGACCGAGGTCGATGGCCTCGCGTTCGAGCGGCACCGACGACGCTCGGCCGTGCTCGGCACTAGGTCAGTGATGGAGTCACTGGCCGCCCCGAGCGTCGAGGCAATGACACCGAGCACGCCGTTGCTGCCACCGAACGCCCGGCGTTTCCCCTCCGCCCCCTCCTCGGGGAGCCCCTACCAAGAGCGTAGCGGATCCCACCACGGATCCCAGCGCGGCTACCATCCCTCCGGTC